AAAGCCGCCCTGAGCTGGGCTGGGGCGGAGCGGGGTCCGCGCTGCCCAGGCTCCTGCCCCTGTCCCCGCGCAGCTCCCGGGTCTGGGATGCGACTCCCAGCCCCTTTCCTCCCGCGTTGTGTCCGCTCCCCTCTTGCATGCGGCCGCGCTCAGCTGCCCCCACCCCTGGGGACAGGGATTTGCACCCCTGGGGGCAGGGGCTTGCACCCCTGAAGGACCGGCTGTGTGAACAACGTCCTTTGGGTCCCTTTCCCTCCCTGCCTGCCAGCTGCGTGCTGCGCCTGGTTCCCGGCGGGCGCGTCGGCACTCCGGTTGAGAGCCAAGGACTGCGCAGTGAGAGTCGCCGTCTACACGGGCGGACGCTGCGCCGTCGTGTGATCTTGTCACGAGTAGTTTTGCTACCTAGAATTACAAGGAGCAGAGTTGCTCTCTGTCACGTGCTGCACGGTAGAGCACGTGTACACGGCCAACGGGGAGCAAATGTGCTCCGGGCAGCAGGGTCTGGAAAGGTTGCTCCCTGCTCTCAGACGCCACTGGAGCCCATGTCCCCCTGCCCCAGCAACAGGAAGCTCCCAGGCCCTGCTCTGTGGTCGCAAGGGGACATCGGGGCTAGGAGGTTGGTATCTCCGGGCGCTGCAGCACCAGAGCCCTCTCCCAGCAACGCCCAGTGACCTGGGAGCTGGCACTGGGGGATAAGGATCTGCCAGCACCAGCCCTGTGACCGCAGTCAGGAAGCGGGGCTGGGAGCTCCCTGCTGCTGGGCCGGGGGCCGTTGTCCATGCCTGAGCCCCAGTGGCAGAGCCCGTCCTGGCAGCAGGCAAGAGGAGGCATAAGATGTCTCCTGGCCCCACGTTCCCCACCAGCCCCTGGGCTAGCATCCAAGGGAAGCCTAGAGCTCCCCCAGGCTCATCAGCTGATAAAACTCTTATCCCACCTCGCCGGCCCAGCCATAGAAGTATGGATAGGTTTCGAAGAGTCTGCGAGGCGGCATTCATTTCTCGTGTTCAAATGTTTAAAAAAATATTCTAGTCAGAAGATACAGCAGTTACGTGGCATCTACTGGTGCTCGCCTGCACTGGTGCTTCCACCATTTTCCATTCATTGCTAATCACAGTTATTGCAATAGCGCCTAAGGACCTGCTGAAAAAGGCGTCTCATGTTAAGAGCGCAAGAAAGTAGATCATAAACACTTCACTGGGGCAAACTACAGGTCTATCTAGCCTGGTGTCTTATGGCTCAGCTTGGCACGGTATCTTAGTTGTGGTCTTCGTCCTTTCTCTCGCTGTACAAATGCAGAGGAGCAGACAGATCCTGGCCTGGAAGACTTTCAATCTAGATAGACCAAACAGACCTACTTATGGACAGTAGCTAATGTCTTTTTAAATGTTCAAAACACCACCCAAACAGCACACGTGAAGGGTAAAAATCAAAAGCCGAAATGATGTACAAGTATCTATCAGATGAAGACAGTCAGCACATGATAGGTATATCCAGTAACAATGGATTAGCACATTAGGTGAATGTTCCTGATAAGAGGATCAAAAGTGAAATGCTTAAGTATAAGCATTTAAATGCAACCTGATGGAAAGACTGTATTCATGCTGCTCTTAGGGGCTGTTGTTTCACTGTGTCTGCAGATTCAAAATGTGCATAGTTTAACATTCTGAAGGTTATCTCTATAACCAGAAAAAGCCAGACACCTTACATATTAATGAATGAATAGGTTTTGAAATAGAATAGTTAGTCACTACAAATAAGTTAAGTAGGACTGCAGAAATTCAAAGGGGGACAATTTGGCCTGGAAACAAATGCACTAGATTAACAATGAACACGGTTTCAATTGATATTGTTAACCAGTGCAAACCATAGTGTTGCATGCTAATTTTGGGTTATAGCAGTTTAGCTTAAATTGATTTCTCTGTGACTTAATATAAACCCGGTTTCAATGAACTGGAGTATTCATGAAGACTTGTTGTGCTAGTTCAGCTAAATCAGCTTAGTATTAAGCCTTATGTTAAAACAATGCAGTACAATTTCAATGCCAACTTTTCTCTGCTTTAGTTCCTTTCTTTGCCTTCATTGGGAGGTATTAGTTTCAACATCAATGTGTTGCTTCTTAATGTTAGAACCACCACCTAGTAAATGTCCTTGTTCAGGGCAGCTGAAATACAATAATATATTGCATTTATTCAGTGACTACCAGGCTTCTAAAGTGTTCATATAAATGGATAAACTAGATTACCCTCTTGTTACAGACAAAGAAACTGGCACAAATTTAATTCAGTGAGGCTCCACTGGGATGATACACTATAAAAAAACTGTCATAATGCAAAAAAGAAAAAAACCCTAGATCTCAGAAGTAGAAACAATCTGCTGTGTTTAGCATTTGATTTCCATGAGCATTGCTGTTTTTGATTATTCCAGTCAAGTGGTGGTGTAGCATAATGCTCTTTTCTTTTTGTTTCTCCCACTACACCGTTTTCCCCTAAGGAAGTTTTTTTATGCCATTATTTTCTGAGGAGGAGTCTCCTGTAATTAGCCATAATTTGAGGAAATACACTTTTACGCATTTTGGACACCGCAGCAGAAAGCATTTCTCTTTCTCCATCTCTCCTTTGCCACAATGGTTGTATATTTGCTCTTCTCTGGAGTATGTTTTGTGTCTCAGTTTCCACTGTAGCTTATAGAGGACCTGTTTACATACCAAATCACATTGGGTTTATTTAAAATCAATGTGGAATCACAGCATCAGGCTGTGTCTTTATTACAAACAGATATATTTTTTAAACAGTCTAGTATAAAATCCTGAGCCAAGACACATTTTTTGCTTCAACCCAGCTTTTCAAGGACAGTCTTACAGCCCCAGCCTGGGTTTTACCTTACTTATCTACAACTTGAGGACTCTCTGAGCATTGGCTCTATTAGGATTGTACACAGATATAACAATCTCAAGAGAGCTACATGACTTAAATAAAACCATATACCTGTGTTTGACAGTGAGGACAGTCTTGAACAAGAACAACTTTGGATTTGATGAGAATTGGCCTTGGTTTGGCATATATGAGCATATATGAGTCCTATATGAGGCATATATGAGTCAGATGAGCCTGTTCATCTACTACTATGGAAAAAAAATGTAATAGCTTGCTAAAGTGATATATTCTATGAATCTACAAATATATCACTTTAGCAAACTTTTCCATAGTAGC